GCCCTTCGAGTTCGACGACGCAGCCCGTGGCGCGTTCAGTACGTTGAAGGCAGCGATGCAAGCCGCACCTGCCCTCCGTATATACGACCCCACCCTACCCACCCAAGTGACTACAGACGCTTCGGGATACGGTATTGGTGCGGTGTTGGCATCCAGTTGAGTATTTCTCCCAAAAGGTGCCTCTTGTCAACACTCTCGACGACGCTAGGAAGAAAGAGCTACTCGCGTTCTTCACCGTTCTCAAACGGTGGCGCCACTTTCTTCTCGGTCGGCGGCGTTTCAAATGGAATACGGACAACAATCCGTTGACCTTTTATAAAACGCAAGACACGGTCACTAGCACGATCGGTCGATGGATGTATTACATCGACCAGTTCAATTTTGACCCGTGCCACATTTCCGGTCCCGCCAATCGAGCTGCGGACGCCCTCTCACGACGGCCGACTTTTGTGCCATTGTGACCACGGCATTCGACCTCGGTGACGATCTGCAGCAGTATTTCGTCAAAGGCTACAAGTCCGATCCGACTTACTCTGAGCTTTACGCGGAGCTTTCATCGGATCACCCGCCGGCTAGCCACTATCGGATTTCCGACGGGTTCCTTCTTTCATACGAGAGGAAAGGACTTGTTAGTTGTGCCCCAAGATCGCATCTTACGGACTCGTCTTCTCGGTGAATTCCACGACGCACGACTTTCGGCACACCTTGGCGTGAACCGCACACTAGCACGCCTCCGCCAGCGTTTTCACTGGCCCGACGTCCTTCATGACGTCACGAGGTACATTGAGTCATGTGCAGTTTGCCACCGAAACAAGGGTCGATCTCGAGTCCCCTTCGGCGAACTGAAACCGTTGCCGATTCCTCGGGCACCACGCCTCTCCATTGCTATGGACGTGACAGGCCCGTTTCCCCGCGATCGCCACGGCCATGACGGTATTCTCACGGTCGTTGACCGTTTGAGCAAGTATGCTCGCTTYCTTCCTTGTAAGTATCATGCTGCAGCGCCTGAGCTCGCACGACTCTTGCACACCGGTTGGATTACCAACCAAGGTGTTCCGGAAGACATAGTGAGCGACCGAGATACTCGTTTCATGTCAGCCTTTTGGACTTCCCTCATGGCTGAGTCCGGTACGACAATGAAACCGAGCTCGGCTCGGCACCCGCAGACGGATGGTCAGATGGAACGAGGGCACCAGACCGCTCAGATGATGTTGCGTATGCTCATCCGCCCCGACCAGAAAGACTGGGTTGACCGGCTTCCGGACATTGAGTTCGCCTACAACACTTCGGTGCACCCGGCAATCTGCGTCACACCATTTGAGCTACATCATGGTGGAGAGAAAGCACGGATCTTCGCTGATCTCCTTTTGCCACAAGCTGCCGACATAGACGTCCCTTGCTCTCCCGCTTCCGTCCGGAAGTACCGGGACTTGCTGATCAAAGCCCGCGCAAATATGCAAAAGGCTCAGATTCGCATTCAGCAGCAAGCTAACCGACGTCGACTTCCATGTCCYTTCCGCGAGGGAGACCTTGTTTGGGTCCTCCCTGAGGAATTTGCGCTCGAGCAGGACGTTTCGCACAAACTCCTTCCGAAATGGTTCGGACCATGGGAAGTCACTTCTGCCGTTGGAGACGATCCCGCAGGTCCTTCCTTCGTGATCAACATTCCACCGCACCTGACAGTGCATCGGGTCTTCCACGCATCGAAGCTGGCCATCTACACGCCACCTTCAAATGACGAGTTTCCCGGACGTCGATCACAGGATCCGCCCTCCATGGACGGACATCAGGAAGTGGACCAAGTCCTCGCGCACCGCAAGTATGGTAACAAGCCAAGGCAGTACAAAGTCACATTCAAGCAATGTGCGCCGGATGACACTCGGTGGATCTCCAATACAGATTTGCAGACTTCTGCACCCCTCATCTTCGCCGACTATGAGAAGCGACGCCTTGCTAAGGACGCAGCTCGTCCCGCCCGACCCACCCCGGTATCGGACAGACAACTTCGCCCTCGCAGGTAGCTCGGTCTTTTAAGAGGGGGAGTGTGTTACATCTTCGACGCCAGGTAGGACCCGACTTAGGGCTAGAGGGACACAGCAGGGCCTAAAGGCCCGACCTTGGGGTACTACAGGCCATAAAGGCCTCACCTTGGACCAGACCCGACGGGCAGGCCCAAACGACATTACCGTTTGGGCCTGGCGGCGCTCTTGAGGCTGCCGCCCGCCGGTTGGGGCTGAACCGTCCATCTGGACGGTTCAAAGCACGGCCAGGCCTCGCGGCAGTGAGGCCGGCCTCTGCCCACCGGTATAAAGAACCGGTCCGGCCCCACTTCGAGGCATCGACCTACCGGCATTCTACCGGTACGGTATGGTACAGCGCGAGACAGCGCTGGCGCTAAGTTTAGCGCAGGAGCAGCGAGGAGCAGCAGCGCAGCATTAGCGCAGCAGCGGGTGAGCAGCGGGCGAGCAGCAGCAGCGGCGACTGGGTGTGCCGGCGGCCATAGCCGCCTGAGGTATCGGGGTTGGAGGCCTCTCTCCTCCCTCCCCTCGCCAGTCCCCTCTCTCTCTCTCTCTCCTCCTCAGCTCCTTCTTCGTCTTCTTCTTCTTCTTCTTCTTCAGATTCTTCTTCTTCTTCTTCTTCTTCTTCTTCTTCTTCTTCAGATTCTTCTTCTTCTTCTTCTTCTTCAGATTGGAGACTTATACTAGTTGGACAAAGATCAGTATTGGACTTCGGTGGTATGAGACTGTGGTACTTACCAGATTGGAGACTTGGAGATCGTTGGGGTTAATACTTGGCGACATCACCGTTCGGACACCGATTACATTTGGACTCTGTAGCCCCGACATTGGTGACCTATGGTCCTCGACATTTTGATCTTGTTGGATGACATTTTGGACTACCATATCGGTGACCTATCAGATTCTATCTCGGTGACCTTCGGTGCTGTCTACCTCCCCCCACCTCCTTCGTCTCTCCTCCTACCTCTCATTTGTGTATGCGTATACGAGGTCTGGGCATCGTCTATGCTTGGCCCAGACCCCACCATCTCACGATTGTATGTGTGTGGAGTGATTCTTGAGTCAGTCCGTGTGAGTCAGTCTATGTGAGTCAGTCCGTTTATCAGACTTCCGCTGCATATATGCTCATCCTACATTGGTTGATCTTTGGTTCTGCCCATACTCATTGAAGTATGTAACACTCTCTCTCTCATGTGCCAGGTACTAACCTGTGAAGATGGCGCTGTGCTGCAGGTACCTCGAAGACGAAGCTGGAGCTATGGCGCTGCAGGTAAGTCTCCCTGGCCTCCCCCCAATCTCTCTCTCTCTCTCTCTAGTACAACTCCTAATAGCGCCCAACGCTGAAGACTACTGCTAGCGTGACTACTACTACTGCAGCGCTCCTCCAGAGTGCTGCTGCCGAATCCTGAAGACTACCTCCCGCCTCTTGAACTGCACGCGAAGTGCCCGGGAAGTCCCTATGAACTACCTGCAGCCTGCAGGGGGGGGCAGTCATATATAGTGCTGGCCCGTCCAGGAGGCTGCTCTTGCCAATGCCGAAACGTGCCAGACCCTGGCGTTGAAGCTCAAACAAGGGTCGGCTTGAAAACAGGCCCAAAATGGACTGTGCTAAAACCCTGGTCTGGTGCCTAAGTTTCAGGGCAGGTGGATGTTATGAGGGCCTGAAAATGGCCCTCCGTTTCAGGCTGAAAAGACTCAGGGCTTGGAGGGCCCTGTTTTAGGCTGAAACGACACAGGGCCTGTAGGCCCTTGTTTTCAGGCTTTCAGGCTGAAACGACACAGGGCCTGTAGGCCCTCGTTTTCAGGCTTTCAGGCTGAAAACGGCACGGTCCTGGAAAAGGCCCGTGCAGCCTGTTGCAGGCGGAACATGTAACGCCCCCCCCTCCTTCTGAAGTCAAGCTGGGTCGAGGGCGAAGCTGACGATCTGAACGTACACGGGTGCGACGTGGAGCCGAAGATACCAGCTTGCCTTGCATCTTGCGTTCGTAGTGTGCGAGAACATCTGGAGCTGTTGCTTGGAGTTCCGCACGGGTCAACCAACGGTCAACTTTGTGAGTGCAGTACACGAAGTGTACCAAGTACTCGGTCGGCCTGTTGCCGTAGCTGTGGTAACTGCAGCCTTTCGGCGGCACGACACCGGCCTCAGGAATGATCTCGTGAGAGATCTGCCGATCCGGCACCACACCGGTAGGTGACTCGAAGATGTCGGTGAACTAGTCAAGCAACCGCACCACACAGGGGTTCTAAGACAAGTCTGTGGGGGAAGAATTGGCTACCGCGACGGTCCATAGGAAGCATAGGCCTATCTTGTCGGGCTGCTTGTAAGCGCGAGTAGCCCGGAACGACTTGCCGTCACCACTTGGCACCGGATCGAAGGGTGTGGAAGAGGAATAGCACACGGTACTTTGGCGTCAAAGGCGTCCCGAACGGTAAGAGTCCGCCGGTGGAAGTTGACCGTCTGATCCGCACTTGCAAGCCAAGGCATTCCCAAAATGATATCGAAGTTCGTGTCCAAAATGTTGAACATCACCGGTTCGCATGCATGAGGTGCGAAATACACTGGTACTGCCTCGATGTAGTGGTCGATAAGTTGCTGCGTCCTTCGGTCCGCCAACTTTATCGCCGTCGGGTTTGCCTTCCTCCAAACTTGTGCACCAAGGCCAGCCCTTTGCATAAAGGCTTGGCTCATGAAATTGTGAGACGCGCCGTTATCCAGCAAAGCGTTGCAGGACGCTTGCCCAACTTGGATGCAGACATAGAGGAGCGGTGCGTTGTTGTCATCATACCGCTGCTTGCGAAACTCACGGGCCACCTTGGTAACATACGCAAGGATGTCCCCCACCCTAGCTTCGTCATCCGTTGACGAAGTTGGTGGTTCATAGAAGGATAAATACGTGTGAAGATAAGCGCATAACGCTGCGCATTGCGGTCCCGGCAAGCGGTTCGAGATCGGGAGAGGAAGCCATGCGAAATCCTCGGACGTGAGCGGGTCCAATACCTCTACGTTGAACTCGCGCACCAAATCCCATGAAAAACCACTTGAAGACGATAAGTCGCCGCTGTCGGACGGAGAAGATGCCGCACACACTTCTTGTCCTTGAGCATGTGTAGGAACGAGCTGGGCAGCATAGTCCTCATAAGAATATAGAAGAGGACTATCGACTTCCGCATGTGTCTTGGAACGAAGGGCGGTCACCTGCGAAGCGACCGGTTCTGAAGGCATCGAGAGTGTGGTCGATTCACTCCCGGCGGCGCTCAGTTTTCCGACTTGCCCTTGCCTTTTGACGGGCAGCCCACTGTGTCGTGGAGACCACTGTTACACCATAGACAATAGTGGAATCTCGTGTGTGCTTTGTACGCCTGTTCGGAGAGACCATAGTGGGACCATGGGGATGGAGCTGCTGTGGCGGGCCCGAGGATAGATGCGGTGTTTGTCTTCGTCTTGCCGCATCCTTGGCCGTTGCTGGGGCGGCCACCGTGAGGCCGGCTGCGAGTCAGTCCCCTTCATTGGCAGACACGGCCTCGCTAGAAGGGTCCGTTGGCGTTGCCGCCGCGACCACGGCCACTTTCGGCCGATGCTGATCTCTTCTCGGACCTGCCGCAGACGAACGGTTGAGGTTCTTAGCCTCCTTGTTCATGACAATAATCTGCGCGGCTTTGTCGAAGAGCTCCGCCGTTGTCGTCAGGGTGTCCTCGACGTGAGTCAAGGCATTGCCGAACGCCGGACACGACCTCGAGATGAAGTAGTGTTTGACGGCCTTAAAGCCCATCTGAATGTCTGGGACGGATGTCAAGCATTGGTACTCGGCAATCCAGTCAACACTCGGCAGCGTGCCTTGTTCGAAGGTCATCAACTTGTCCATTGCCTTGATCTCCGACGACTCTACTTGGAACCGCTTATGCCACGCCGCCTTTAGATCATCCCAGCTGATCTTGGTGTACAAGTTGGCAGCTACCACCTCGTACTTGGACAAGAGATTGTCCAACCATGCTTGGCACGCGCCCCCCGAGCGGGAGTATAAGTACGCGTGATGTTTGTGCTCACTGACGCGGTGTAGCTGCAACTTGAGCTCGAACTTGCAGAACCATGGAATCGGGTCCGTCTTCGTCGAGTCGCAGAAGATCTCCTGCCCATCGAACTTTGGAGTTGTCTCGCGCTGTTCCGCTCTCGAGTGAATGGCGGCAGTACAGATCCATTGCTCCAACTGTTGCGTTGCGGTTTGCTGTAACTGCACGCCGTCCTTGAGGGATCCGACGTCAATCTCCAATGCCTCGAGGCGATCGGAGGTGTTGGAGGAGCTGGCAACAGGGGCGGCGACGGTTTGTTCCAGTTGCTGGAGGCGGTTGTTGACTTGGTCAAATGCCTGGTTGTGTGTCTGAACCGCGTCGTCGAGGCTGTGGATGTCCTCCTGTTGTGCAATGCACGTCGCCAGGAGATCCGTGAAATGGGAGAGGAGTAGAGCGATCTTGCTTTCACTCTCTTCCATTTTACCATTCTCGGCGTCGGCCTGCCAGTCCGCTGCCATTGTGATCAAGGCTCGCTCTCCGCTGAATATCGTCCCAGTCCAGTCCAGCAAGTACCACGGGGGACTGTGAGCACCATGGGACGATGGCAAAGGGCAGACCAACGAGTTTTTGAAGTATAAATCAAGAGGCAGCGCCCAGCCATTCATTCATTTCCTGCGTGAGCCATGCGGAAGCTTTGCCACAGCGACTTGTGCAAGGAGGTCTGCAGATGAGCCCGGAGGAATCAATGGGCGAGAGAGGAGGAGTTAGTATAGCGATAGGTTAGAGGCAGCCATAGCTGCCATAGCTGTAGTTAGTAGGAAGTGTGTGTGTGTGTGTGTTCGAGTGTTCAGAGTGACGCGTGTGGGATATCCAGGGTGATCCAGTGTGTGTGAACAGGGAGTTGTTAGGGCGTTGAGTCGCCATAGCCAGCTGAAAGTGAACTCTTATCTGGAAGCCATATCTCTGAGTATTGAGTGGGTGATTGTCGCCTGTTTGTTGCATTGCTGTTTACATACATGAAAAGTGTGAATGAGACGAGTCTGATTGCATTGGTATCGGAGCTGGTACCCGCTATTCCATGCGCGCCGTCGTGGACAAGGTTTGACGCACCATAGCAGAGGTGGCCGCTGAGGGGTGTAGTCCGCCATAGTGGACCCGAAGTTGGAGAAGCCGCCGTGCACCTGCAAGAAGACCACGACGAAGAAGAAGACCGAGAGAGAGAGAGAGAGAGAGAGAGAGAGAGAGAGAGAGAGAGAGAGAGAGAGAGATGAGCGATACAAGTTTGGTTGTCACTTACCTGTGAAGCGAGCTGTGCAGTCCCACGAAGGAGGAAGAAAGCGGCCATAGCCGCAGAGCATCGTCACGGAGTAACGAAGGAGGGAGAGAGAAAGGACAAAGAGGGGGAGACCGAGAAGAGTAAGGGAAGCCATAGCCGAAGGGAAGGAGGAGTGAAAAAAAAAAAGAAAAAAAAAAGAAGAAAGAGAAAAAGAAGACAGCGGGGTGAAAGGAGGCGAGGAAGGTGAAACGAAGAAGAAGGTTGGCGAGGAAGAGGAGCCGACAGCCATAGCTGACTGGAGGGTTGACCAAGAAGGTTGATCGGGGGTGTTGATTGGCGTTTACCGGAGTTGACCGGGGGTTGACCGAGGGTCGATAGCGGCGTTGACCGGCGCTGACCAAGACCGTTGACCAAGACTTTGACCAAGCTGGAGTTGGTAACATCTCGCCAAACCCTCAGCCTATCCCTTGCCCTATGGATGTGCACACACCCCTTGGTACTTGCTGAGTCAAGTCAGTCTGTCTATTCTTTCTGCATCGAGTCTCTTCTGTCCTAGGTGATAGTACTTTGTGGGTGAAGGATAGGCCTGGTTGACCACTCCCCTACCGGATCTAGTAGGGCTGAGACTGTGGCAGATCCAACTGTACAGGGGGGCATAACCCTCCCAAGGACCTGTACTGACCGACGGGCTGCTCGGTGTGGCACGGTAGGCCTGAAAAGCTGATCTGTGGGCGGTGCGACAGGTAAAGACCTGCTGATCTCGTCGTCCTGTTTGCGACGTTAAAGAATTTTTGCGGAGTTTGGGGGATCTCCTTAAATGCCTCCTGATCAGCAAAAGGTCTAGTAGTGACAGCCATAGCATAGGTCTAGGCTAGAGACCATAGTTGACAGGATCCTTGTCAGGATTCTTTGAATCCTTAGATTGAGTCAATAGGTCTGTCAGTCAACGTGGTGAGGTTTGGAACCGCCACCCGGTTGTGCACTTATCACCATGGTTGAGACCCGCGGTGGGACGAGTACTAGCCCCTACACCCAGGAGCAGCAAGAGAAGATGGCCGCCATAGTGAGAGAAAACAGAGAGAGGAAGGAGCTCCTGAAGCAAGCGAAGTTGAAGGCTATTGCAGAGCAGCAGCAAAGATGAAGGAGTTGGAGGAGAAGATGGAGAAGAAGAAGAAGGCTGCTGAAGAAGAAGCGGCAGCAGAAGCAGAGGAGGAGAGAAAAGGAAAGGGAAAGGAAGCAGAGAGCAGTGGCGCGATGAAAGAAGTAGAGATGGAGAAAAAAATAAGTGAGTGGATCGCTAATTTATCGTTGGGGGAAGATGAGGAGGCAGAGTTCTATGTCCCAAAGGACGATGCGCTGGCCAGGGAGCTAGCAGCGATGGAGGACCCTCTGGAACGAAGGGAGAGAGAAGAGGAGAATAAATTGGAATGGAAGTTGAGGATGAAGAGAGAGAAGAAGAAGAGGAGGGAGGAAGTTAATAGGTTGACCGCGGAAGTAGCGAAAGTGCAGGATTGTAGGCGAGAAGTGGGAGCACAGACATATATTTTTGCCAAGATGGATAAGATGTTGGGTTACCTGGAAGTGTTGAGTGCAGCCTGGATGGAGGAGCGCCAGACCAGTTGGAGTCAGGAGGTAGCCCTGGGTGCCATGCGGTCGGGATTCAGGGATTTTGCGCGCGATATGGTTACCCACGTTGGAGGGGAAGTTAGGAGATTGAGAGATAGCGTGGGGAAGTTCTGTGAAGGCGCCATTGAGGGTGCCAAAGCCATAGCCGCTGTAGAGGGAGAGGCCAGACCCCGCAAGGACCCAGTTAAGCTAAAGTTCCCAGATGCATACGGGGGAAAGAAGGAAGAAAACTTTGACAACTGGGAAGCCAGTGTCAACAGTTACATCTATCTACAGCACATCCTGTTAGAGGAACAAGTCCTCGTGGCCTTCCAGGCCCTCAAAGATGAAGCGACTAGTTTTTCCAGGTCTCTTGCGTGCGAAGCCGGTTGTGAAAACAACCTGGTTGCTTACTCTAAAGTTACCCCCCTTCCTCAATTCCTCAAGCTCCTGAAGGAGCGATTTGCAGACCCAACAAGAGGCATTTGTGCCTCTGACGAGCTACAAACAATCCACTCACGGCAGTGGAGGAGTGCGCGAGCACTCAAGGGCGTCATGGACGACGTGGTGGCCGTCCCAGACCACGGGGTCACTGAGACCCAATTGGTCCAGTTATTTTAGCGTGCGATGCCTGAGACCCTGAGGGGGCACTTCTTTGATAAGACCGAGCAGGCCGGCATCACCTATGATGCGTTGAGTAGGGAAGTGGTCCTGTTCGAGTCAAAGTCCATGCCAGTTACCACCTTCTGGCACAAGGACTTAGAGAAGGGAAAAAGGTGGAAAGGGCGTACCATCTCTGGCCAAGTCAAGGCCAAGGATCATATGATCCTGACATTAGAGGAAGGTGGTACAGACGAGGTTCCGTATAGTCAGATCGAGTGGGGCCTCAAGGAGGAAGACAGTAGTGTAGGACAGGGGAGGTCTTATGATGCTGTCACTGCTGGAGGGAGGCTGCAAGGTAGAGGGGGAGGCCGAGGACCGGGCGCACAGGGGGTTGGCGGCCAAGGAAACCGCCAAGCGGGAGGTAAGGGTCAAGGTCCCCCGCCAAATCGCCAAGGTAATCGGTTCCCACAGCGAAGAGGTGGAAGGGCACCTTAGGGAGGTTGGCACCCAGGCTTGCCACAGGGCAGGCCCTGGGAAGACTTGGGCTTGGACCAACGCTTATGGCAGGAACGCGTGAACCTGGGTCAGTGCGTGTTTTGTGGTGACCCGGCCCACGTAATAAAATTTTGTCCAAAGTATCGACAGGCCCGTTGTGCTGCCCAGCAGTCAAAAGGCAGCCGCCAGTAGGGGTCGCAACTGCCCCTACTTCAAGGCCATGGGGAGAAGTGAGCGCGCGCGAACAGGATACTCCCAACCCACATGAGCCTATGGCAGAGGTTGCAGGCCCGTACCTAGCTAGTTGTCCGGAGACCGCCTGTGTTAGCGCCTCTTTAGGCACGTCCCTCACAGGTGTGGCAGAAGAGTTAAAAGGAGAGGATGCCAGCCTAGGCCAAGATGAAGAAAGAGAGTAAAGGACAACTGATCTTGGTAGATGTAGAGGTGTTCAGAAGTCGAGTAGGGACCCTTATAGACTCAGGGGCCACCCACAGTTATATTAGTCGTAGAGCGTTGAAGAAGTTAAGGCTAGGATTGAAAGTCCAGAAGTTAGAAGACCCCATAGTCAGTGTCCTCGCAGACAAATGCACAATGCGAGTTGAGGACTATGTAGAGGGAGTCCAGGCGTACTTTCGCCTAGAGAAGGATGGGAAGGTGGAGAAAGTTCCCCATTCCCTGATTCTCCTCGTACAAGATGACCTTCCTTTTGACGTAGTACTAGGGATGGATTGGGGAGAGGCAGCAGCGGCCACACTCCATTTGAGAGAGCATGAGTGTAGGCTCCCTAGTCCATCAGGTGAGGTAAAGACTGCCCGCCTGTTTCATGTGTCAGGTGTAGACAACACCTTGGCACATTGCTGTCTCAATGCTCCCGCGTTTGCGCGATTGGTGAAAAAGGAACATCTAGAAGACCTGGTCTTTGTAGTTTATGTTAGACCTGTCACTGAGGCCCAGGAAAAGGAAAGTTCCACAGATCCAACGATTGCCAAGCTGCTAGAAGAGTTCAAGGACTTGACTGAGTCGCCGACAGGAGTAGTGCGGCGACCCATCCAGCACAGGATAAAGATAGAGCCTGCCAGCAGAACTCCTAAGGGAGCAGTCTACAGGATGTCCCCTAGAGAGTAAGAGGAGCTTCGCAAGCAGTTAGACGAACTCCTTGAGAAAGGTTGGATCAGGCCCAGTTTGTCTCCTTTTGGAGCACTAGTTCTGTTTGTCCCCAAGAAGGAAGGAGAGCTTCGTATGTGTATAGACTATAGGGGTTTGAATGCTATCACAGTGAAGAATGTTGAGCCGCTGCCCAGGATAGACGATCTTTTAGATCGGGTGCAGGGTTGTAAGTATTTTTCTAAGATAGACTTAAAGTCTGGTTATCATCAGATAGAGGTCCATCATGATGACCAGTACAAGACTGCGTTCCGGACTCATTATGGGCACTATGAGTTTATAGTGATGCCCTTTGGACTAACCAACGCGCCAGCTACTTTTCAGCGTTGTATGAATGACTTGTTTAGGCCATGGTTAGACAAGTTTGTAGTAGTCTATTTAGATGACATCTTAGTTTTTAGTAAGACCCTCCAGGAGCACCAAGGTCATCTGAGGCAGGTCTTGGAGAAGCTTAGAGAGGCTAACTTTAAAATCAACGCAAAGAAGTGTGAATGGGCCAAGACACAAGTTTTGTACTTGGGCCACGTATTAGACGGAGATGGCATCAAGCCAAAGGACAGCAAGATAGCGGCGATTAGAGATTGGCTGACGTCCCGCACATTGACAGAGTTGCGGTCATTCTTAGGCCTAGCCAACTACTATCGGAAGTTTGTGAGGAACTTCTCCACTATCGCCGCTCCCCTGCGCTGGTTGCTTAAGAAAGAGGCAATCTGACAATGGGACAAAGATTGTACGTCTGCGCTCAAGAGGTTAAAGCGCGCGTTAATAGAGTATCCTGTCCTCAAAGTAGCTGATCCGACCTTGCCATTTGTCGTCACCACGGACGCAAGTCAGTATGGAATAGGCGCCGTGTTGCAACAGGATGACGACCATGGCTATAGACCCGCAGAGTTCATGTCCGCGAGGGATGCCCTCAGAGAAGGTAGCCACCTCGACGTACGAGAGAGAACTCTACGCTCTCAGGCAGGCTCTAAACCATTGGAAGCATTACCTGCTTGGGAGGCACTTCAAAGTGTATTCTGACCACGAGACCCTTAGATGGTTAAAGACCCAGGCCAAGATGACACCGAAGTTAACTAGGTGGGCCGCTGAGATAGACCAATATAACTTTGAGCTTAGGCCAATGAAGGGCAAGTATAATGTAGTTGCGGACGCTCTGAGTAGGAAATCAGACTACTTTGGAGCCATAGTACATTATCTGGATATAGGGAGAGACCTGCAGGAGAAAGTAAGGCAAGCGTATGTGCAGGACCCTATTTATAGCGACCTCCTAAAGAGAGTTAGAGAGGCCCCAGAGACCGAACCAGATTGCCGCACTACAGATGGATTGTTGTTTGAGAAGACCAACGTGTTTGACCGCCTGTGCGTTCCCAACAACGAAGAGATTCGCAGTTTGATTTTAGGGGAATGCCACGATACTGAAGGGCATTTCGGTTGGCAAAAGACGTTAGCCAACCTTATGTGTGCACATACCTGGCCAGGGATGAAGAATGATTGCATAAAGTATGTCCGCAGTTGTAAAGTGTGCGAGAGGAATAAGTCTACTACACGCGCGCCCCTAGGTCTTCTCAGACCCTTGCCTATTCCGGATCAGCTGGGAGACTCAGTGTCCATAGACTTCATGGACACCCAAGTCAAGAGCAGACATGGTAAGAGCCAAGTCATGGTCATAGTGGACCGTTTTAGTAAGTATGATGTTTTTGTTCCTTTGCCTGCAGAGGCACGTACAGACTTAGTTATACAGAAGTTCTTTGACTTTTGGGTTAGTGAGAATGGAATCCCATCGTCAATAGTTAGCGATAGAGATAGTCGTTTCACCAGCCAGAACTGGCAAGAACTCGTGAGAGTCTACGGATCTTAAGTTGTTAATGTCGTCCGACCGTCACCCAGAGAGTAACGGTCAGACTGAACAAATGAACAAGATCCTACAACAAGTTCTGCGCATGTATATTAGACCAGATCAGATCAACTGGGATGAGATGCTGCCTAAGGTAGCTAGTGCATACAACAACAGCGTGCATCTATCCACCTGCTGTACTCCCAATGAGCTGCACAAGTCCTTTAGACCTCGTAGACCGTTCGAAGGACTGAATCGGGACCAGATTCACAGATTACCGCTCGGTACCAGGGAGTTTGCGATACAGCACGAGAAAAAATTAGCAACTGTTGTTAAGAACCTCAGAAAGACCCAACATAGAATGATAGAACAGGCTAATAAGCACCGTCGCCCGTCACAGTTTCAGGTAGGCGACTTAGTCGGGGTCAAGGCTAAAGAGTTTGCACCTGAGGAAAACATCTCACAAAAGTTACTGCCTGCATATAGAGGACCGTGGGCGGTTGCTAGAAGTCAAGGGCGGAGAGGATGGACCGTCCTACACTGTAGAGATCCCATTACACCTCCACACATATCCTGTCTTCCACGCTTCAAAGCTGTTGCCGTGTGTCACAAGCCAACAGTTCCCTTCAAGACGATGTATGATTCCTCCGGATATGGACGGAAGTTATGGCATTGAAGGTATTGTAGATGAGGATGTGTTTAGAACAGGAGGTAGAGGTCGTCCCCAGAAGCAATATAAGGTCTGGTTTGCCTATCAGGAACCGGAAGACGACCGCTGGTTCACAAGGACAGAACTTCTAGAAACAGCTCCCGGCATAGTCAGAGCCTATGAACGTGATAAGAAAGGTAAAGGTCCTGCCTTGGACTGAAATATTCTCGGAGGACCTCGAATTTAGGACGGCGGGAGTGAAACGGTTTTCACCTTTTTGCAGTAGCAGAAGATGCAGTGCCCAGGGTTCGATCCCTAGACCTCACCCTACCCATGTACAGTATCGGTGTAAACCCCGAGAGATGAACCCGTGACCTGTGTGTTCGTAGACAGCTAGTAGGTCTGTCATAGGTCCATAGGTAGTAGGGGTTCGATCTGTCGACCTATAGAGTTGAAGTCTTAGCGAATTCCAGAAGTCTAGCTGTAGTCCTTCTAGAAGGTCAGCAAGTGGGCAAGTGGCCAAGTGGCGAGGCAAGTGGTGGACTAAACTGTAGTGCAATCGCAGTCCGATCTCGGTAGGAAAGCAGTGAGTCCACAGTCAGTCAGCGGTAGGGTCCAGTCAGTCCCAGTCCGGTCCAGCAAGTACCACGGGGGACTGTGAGCACCATGGGACGATGGCAAAGGGCAGACCAACGAGTTTCTGAAGTATTAATCAAGAGGCAGCGCCCAGCCATTCATTCATTTCCTGCGTGAGCCATGCGGAAGCGCTGCCACAGCGACTTGTGCAAGGAGGTCTGCAGATGAGCCCGGAGGACGCAGTGGGCGAGAGAGGAGGAGTTAGTATAGCGATAGGTTAGAGGCAGCCATAGCTGCCATAGCTGTAGTTAGTAGGAAGTGTGTGTGTGTGTTCGAGTGTTCAGAGTGACGTGTGTGGGATATCCAGGGTGATCCAGTGTGTGTGAACAGTGAGTTGTTAGGGCGCTGAGTCGCCATAGCCAGCTGAAAGTGAACTCTTATCTGGAAGCCATATCTCTGAGTATTGAGTGGGCGCTTGTCGCCAGTTTGCTGCGTTGCTGTTTGCATACATGAAAAGTGTGAATGAGACGAGTCTGATTGCAGAACCCTTGACCTGTGTATTCGTAACGGTTGGTAGGTCGTCATAGGGTCTGTAGGAAGCAAGGGTTCGATCTGTAGATCTGTAGAATAGAAGTCTTAGCGAGTTGCAGAAGTCTTAGCTGTAGTCCTTCTAGAAGGTCGGCAAGTGGGCAAGTGGTCAAGTGGCGAGTCAAGTGGTGGACTAAACTGCAGTGCAATTGCAGTACGAGTCCGGTAGGTTAGCAGTGAGTCCCCATTCAGTCAGTGGTAAGGTCCAGTCAGTCCCAGTCCGGTCCAGCAAGCATCACGAGGGACTGTGAGCACCATGGGCCGATGGAAGGGGGCAGACCAACGAGTTTCAGAAGTATAAATCAAGAGGCAGCGCCCATCCATTCATTCATTCCTGCGTGAGCCATGCGGAAGCGCTGCCACAGCGACTTGTGCAAGGAGGTCTGCAGTGAGCCCGGAGCAGAAGGGGGCGAGAGAGAAGGAGCGTAGCACAACGATAGGGTAGTTGCGGCCATAGCCGCCATAGCTAGAGTTAGTGTGAAGTGTGAAGTGTGTGTGTGTATGTGTGAGTGTTCAGAGGGACGCGTGTGGGATATCCAGGGTGATCCGGTGTATGCGAACAGAGAGTTGTTTGGGCGCTAAGTCGCCATAGCCATTGGAAGTTAACTCTTATCTGGGTTGCCATATCTTTGAGTTTTGAGTGGGCGCCTGTTGCCAGTTTGCTGTGCGCCTGTTTGCATGCATGTGAGTGTGAAAGAAAACGAGTCTGATTGCACTAATTAGTATGCTCTAATCAATCAATCAATAAAAACTAGTTAACTACTTAGTCCCCGCACACGTGTCAGATCAGGTTGTCCTGATTCACGTGCGGTGTTCTGATACCAGCTGTATAAGGATAGCCAAGGATCCGCAACGTGATGAAAAGGACTGAATGGACAATACACTGCTAGTGAAATCTCAACAAGCAATGTACATCCTGATACATACAAAATGGCGCCTTGTGGCGCACGACCTCTCTCACGTAGTGCAAGACAGCGCAGCAGAATGCTAGAATGCCAAGGACTAGCCCAATCAATGTCACAATACAGACCAAACATACATATCCTCATCACAAGGTGTGAAGGGGGCCTGGCGCTACACACAGGAAGAATGCACCAGGTCCAGACCATACACAGACGAAGAGGAGGGGATCAGACGAAGAAGAAGGGGGAAGATGGAGTGTTGTCAACACCAAGTCTTCGTTACAAGTCCCAGATAATCCCTCGTCAAATGTCTGAAGTCCAATGTCGAGTCTGGATCCAAATGTCACCAAGCCCGCTCTCTCTCGTAGTCTGCTGATGCAGTGAAGTCAGGTAGCGAGAGGGTGAGATGGAGATGGTGGGCCGAGAGGAGGAAGAAGAAGAACTCACTCTCTCACTCTCTCATGTACCAGGTACTAACCTGTGAAGATGGCGCCGTGCTGCAGGTACCTTGAAGACGAAGCTGGAGCAATGGCGCTGCAGGTAAGTCTCCCTGGCCTCCGCCCAATCTCTCTCTCTCTCTCTAGTACTACTCGAGCTCCTAATAGCGCCCAGTGCTGAACACTACTGCTAACGCTACTAGCGCCCAGCGCTGAAGACTACTGCTAGTGCTCTACTACTACTCCTGCAGCGCTCCTCCAGAGTGCTGCTGTCGAATCCTGAAGACTACCTCCTGCCTCCTGAACTGCATGTGAAGTGCCTGGGAAGTCCTTATGAACTACCTGCAGCCTGCAGGGCGGGCCAGTCTTATATAGTGCGCTTGCCAATGCCAAAATGTGCCAGACCCTGGCGTTGAAGCTCAAACAAGGGTGGTCTTGAAAACAGGCCCAAAATGGCCTGTGGTAAAACCCTGGTCTGGTGCCTAAGTTTCAGGGCAGGTCGATCTTATGAGGGCCTGAAAATGGCCCTCCGTTTCAGGCTTAAAAGACTCAGGTCCTGGAGGGCCCTTGTGGCATACTGCGTAGCCACACGGGCCTGCAGGGCCCGTCCCGCATTCCCAGCCTAAAAGCCTAGAAATAAGGGCTTACAGGCCCCTGTCGTTTCAGCCTTAAAGACTGAAAAACGAGGGCCTGCAGGCCCTATGTCGTTTCAGCCTAAAACAGGGCTTTTCAGCCCTGAGGCTTTTCAGCCTGAAACGGAGGGCCACTTTCGGGCCCTCATAAGATTGACCTACCCTAATACTCAGGCACAAAAACAGGGTTTCGGGAACAGGCTATTTCTGACCTGTTCCCCACGACAGCCTCAAGCAGGAGCTGCAGGGGCAGCCCCTGACTCCCTTCGGCATTGGCAAGAGCAGCTCCTGGACTGCCTCGCCCTGCAGTCAGGAGGCACCCGAGTAGTACATAGGAAGTTCCCATGCACTTCACGGGTAGGTAGTTGGGCAGTAGGCACGAGTAGTCTTCAGGATTCAGCCGCAGCACTCAGGAGGTGCGCTGCAGTAGTAGTTAGGGCTAGCAGTAGTCTTCAGCGCTGGGCGCTCATAGCTGCAGGAGTAGTCTTCAGCGCAGGGCGCTAGTAGCTGGTAGTAGTAGCGTTGGAGAGAGATGGCTGGCGGAGGCCAGCGGTACTTACCCTGTCTCTTATACACATCTAGATGTGTATAAGAGACCTGTGGCGCCATAGCTCCAGCTCCATCTTCGAGGTACCTGCATCAAGGCGCCAACTTCACAGGTTAGTACTGGACACAGAGAGAGAGAGAGAGAGATTTCTTCTTCTTCCTCTTCTAAGTCCACCATCTCTTCTTCACCCTCTCASCACCTGACTTCTCAGTATCAGCAGACTACTACAGAGAGAGAGAGTTGTGACTTGAGACTTGACGACATTGGATCCAGACACGACATTGGGATTCAGACATTTGAYKAGGGACTATTTGGKYCTGTGCCGAAGACTCGGTGTTGACGACATTCCCATCTTCCCCTCTTCTTCGTCTAACCCCCCTCTTCTTCGTCTGTGTATGGTTMGGGGCTGGCGCATTCTTCCTGTGTGAGCGCCAGACCCCTTCACACCATGGAGATGATGATGATGATGTATGTTCTGGGCTGCATTGCAATATTGATTGTTYGGATCATTGGTATCTAAGTTTTCCGCTGCGCTATCTTGTACTTTGTATTGAGAGGTCGGTTCTTGTTCTGGTCTGCACCGTTACAGTATGCAACAGTTTGGTATCGGAGCGGACCTCTCATTCAGAGGACCCGCTCAATCAAATAGCCAGCTTGCTTGATCTATTGATTACTCGTTAGTAAATCAAGTAGGACTTCGTCAAATCTCTGAATTTTTTTTTCTTTTTCTCGCAACAACTATCTGAAAATTGCTGATATTCGCATTTCGTTTTACCTGAAAATTTCTGATATTGGTATTTCGTTTTCACGTAACAAATATCTGRAAATTTCTGATAAATYGCATTTCGTTTTRTCTGAAAATTYCYGATAGTAGCATTTCSTTTCTCTGATATTTCGCATACATAGCTGAAAATTTCTGATGTTAGTATTTCGTTTTCTAGGCATATTGGGATAACGATAGAAGTGGTCATATTCTCGGAAACTGGAATTATTCTTTTCTGAAAATCGAATTTCCATTCTATCTCGCAAATTTTTTTTGAAAACTGAAATCTTGCGAAGCCCACCAACATTTCGTTAGGCATATTCGGAGGTTGCCATATTCTCAGAAACTGGATTTCGTTCTTTTCTGAAAATCGCATGTTTACTCTATTTCGCAATTTTTTTGTTTTTCAAGATCGCATTTTGTGAAAGCCGAAACTTTGCGGAACCTAGCCTAGATCTCGTGCATAGTACTCCTCTGACATGTCTCACTCATAACAGATCGACAGATATACAAAAAAAAAAAAAAAGGAAGTAGTCTTTTATTTTTTTATTTTATTTTTTTTATCTGTTGATTACGGCCGGGAGGAAAGTATTGTTGGGTGGGTTCCCTACCTGCGTTTTCCCTCCCCACCCACCCTTTGCATGCATTTCCGAGTTGGTACAGTGCCACGTCAGCAGTGCCATGTCAGCAGTGCCACGTCAACAGTGCCACATCAGCAGTGCCACGTCAGCAACAGTGCCACATCAGCAGTGCCACGTCAGGAACAGGGCCACGTCAGCAACAGGGCCACGTCAGCAGTGCCACGTTGGTCACAGTGCCACGTCAGCAGTGCCACGTCAGCAACAGTGCCACGTCAGCAGTGCCACGTAAGCAGGGCCACGTAAGCAACAGTGCCACGTCACAGTGCCACGCCAGCAGTGCCCCGCCAGCATGACGGGCGCAACTCTGGGCATGCCAGGCCAACTGGCCAACGAGTTTATTGCCGACTACAATCAGCGGTTCCAAACTCAGCTCGCACTGATCGAGGCTGAGGAACAGCGCCAGCTGGCAGCCAAGGCTACCCGCCTACAGGCTGAAGCAGCGGCAACAGCTGAGAAGCAGCGGCTTCAGGCCGAAGCAGATGCAGATACCCAGGCACGCCGAAAGGAAGCCCAGGATCTGCTGCAGCGGCATGAAGCCGCCAGCATCGAAAGACTCAAGTATTGGCACTTTGAACCATYTGAAGGRCACGACGACGCGACAYCGGAAGAGCRGCAYAGGGAATTCATGGCCAAAMTCGTGACTCGGTTGGTTTACACTTGTAACCACTTGCAGTCCGAGCTGGCGAATATGCAGCGGGCCATGCGGAACCACAAGGCTCAGCATGAGGATGCAGCACGGGCACTTGATTCCCGTATGCAGGACTTGGAGCAAGTTGCACCAAGACCGGAGGCTGGCGAGTCCAGCAATGCACCCTCTGCCCGCCAACTGGAGCAACTCGTCGACCACGTCATCGCAATGCTCAGCGACATCAGCACCTTCGCTGCGCCAACCACTATCAGCAAACACCTGGATACCTTGAAGACCGAGGTTCAACAACTGCAGCTGCCTAACAAGGATGGCAACAACACAACGCATTATAAGATGCCGACATTCCAAATTGAGAAGTTCGATGACTACACGCATCAAGACCCGGTCCACTGGTGAGAAGGCTTTACGAAGCAACTGCGGATTCTGTTCGTCGCCAAGCACGTGTACATCGGCGCCCTGTTTCTCAACTCAAAGGGCGGATGCCAGACCTGGTTAAGCCACCTGGCATCCACCCATGGCGTCGACGTCGCAGATCTGAAAGACAAGATCTCATGGGAAGAGTTAACACGGCTATGGAAGAAGCGGTTCATCGTGGACGACGCACCTGCACTCGCCATCAACCGTTTCTTCGGCATGACACAAGGCAACACAGCAACACGTGACAAGCTCACGGAATGGCAGAAGATCGCGACAACGCCCGGTCTCGACTTGCCATTTTCGCATTTGCGCCGCGAGTTCTACAATAGGTCATGTGCTGCATTGAGCCTTGCACTTGGTGATCGCGAGCAATATGCAACCTTCGCTGAAATCATTAACAAGGCGAGGGAGATCATCAAGACCAACAGGGCGGCACACGAGAAGTCAACGTGGCAGCCAACCTATGTGGAGAAGGTGAAAAATGGTCCGCGACCGCAGCAGTTCGCTGCAGTCCAATCGGACAACATTGTGGAAGACCCGACAGCCACCCAAGCGTCACGTGAGGGTGATCAGGTGGCTGCTGTCCAGCCGCGAAGCAACAACAAGTCCCGAGGAAACGGGAAGGCGAAAACCGCATCGCCGACCGGAAACGGACAGCCAGCACCATGGGTCAAGTTTCACTTGACCGAGGCCGTGTACAAGTTCCGCGGCCGCTATGGTTGCTGCTATTGGTGCAATAGCACCAAGCACAAGACCTCCCTCTGCCAGGAGGATGTTCGGCCTCGTATCAACTCGGGAAACTGAGTTCCGCGGGAGGTGAGGCGACTCCACCTCCCACTCCGCCAGATTCGGCCGCCTTGCTAGCGGCCTCCTACACATCTGGGGAGGATGCGAATGTCGTAAGTTCTCGGTATGCTTACGAGGACTATGCTGTCCACTTCGTCCCACCGTTGGACCAACCACTTCACGTGCAACAATCTACCGCATGCACGGTTTCATCACCATCGGCAACCGATTCGGCAGCTTCGTCGCCATCTACCGCCGGGGATTCAACGTTATGGTCAAGACTTGAAGAGCTCGACCCGTTGACATATGCGGACTTCCAATGGATGCCCCTTCCCCGGTGTGGTCGATTGTCGAAACCGCATTGCAACGTGCTCATGGCACAATTGCGGGATTACTTGCACACTGCAGTACCGACTCCGTTGATGGACGTTGGAGTAGAGGTTGTCGACCTTCACGCCTGCATTGCGAAGATCGATCGCAAGGTCAAGACACAACGGTACAAGGACATCGACGCACCATTGTTATATGTACGCATTGAGATCGGAGAGGCGACCTGCAGCGCTTTGATCGATTGCGGAGCATCTCGCAACTACATGAGCCAGGACTTTATGGTACGCGCCGGCCTTGGCCCACGTGCCCGGAGGAAGTCCCAGCCGACGCAAGACACGTTGGCGGACGGTCACACGCACAAGTCAATAGACCGGTGCATTGATGACGTCCCCGTATACTTTGCCCCGCACGCGAGCGAGGCGGTGTCCTTCGATATTTTGGACGCCAGATCTGACATGATCTTGGGCATGTCATGGCTGCGAAGCGAGGATCACCCGGTGAACTTCTACCGCCGTACCGTTCACGTTCGTGATCAGAACGGAGTACTAGTCCCATGCACGGTAGCTCCTCCTCACCCTTCAATCAGCTGTCACGTGGTGTCCGCCGCAAGCATGCGAGCTTCCATCATCAGAGACGACATCGAGGAGATGGGGGTGTGTTTTCTCCACGCCCTCCCACCCCATGACGTTTCATCGACGGACTCATCTTCGGACCCACGCATCACCGAGCTTCTCGACGCCTACGACGACGTGTTCGAAGGCCCGCACGGAGTAGTACCGGATCGGCCCATCCGCCACGAGATCATCCTCGAGGACGGGGCCGTACCTCCGCGCGGTTGCATCTACCGAATGAGTGAGGAAGAGTTAAGTGTGCTTCGGGCACAACTCGACGACCTCCTGGAGAAAGGCTGGATTCGGCCTAGCTCATCGCCATATGGTGCTCCTATTCTCTTCGTCCGGAAGAAGAACAAGGAYTTGCGGTTGTGCATCGTTTATCGCACGCTCAATGATCAGAAACGTCGGCCCTCTTCCACGCATAGACGACCTTCTCGAACGGCTGGGCGGCGCCAAGTTCTTCTCCAAGCTGGACCTCAAGTCGGGATATCACCAACTCGAGATTCGGAAGGAGGACCGCTATAAGACTGCGTTTAAGACGCGATATGGGCATTTCGAATGGCTGGTTATGCCATTTGGCCTTACGAATGCCCCGGCCACTTTCCAAGCAGCTATGACAACGGAGTTCCGACACATGCTGGATCGATTCGTACTTATCTACCTCGACGACATCCTGGTGTACAGCCGGAGTTTGGACGAGCATGTGGAACACTTGCGCACCGTTTTGGAGCGGCTACGACAAACCAAGTACAAAGCCAACCGCGACAAATGCGAATTCGTGCGGCACGAGCTGGAGTACTTGGGACAGTATGTGACGCCGCAAGGCATCCGTCCGCTTGCGAACAAGATCGAGGCCCTCCGCGTATGGCCCGAGCCCACCAACACCACGGACGTCCGTTCATTCATGGGGTTGGCGGGCTACTATCAGCGATTCATCACCAGATACTCAAGGATTGTTGCACCTATGACGAGATTACAATCGCCAAAGGTGCCATTCGTATTCAATGACGACACGCGCCGGTCATTCGAAGCACTTAAGACGACCATGCTCATGGCACCCGTCCTTAGCATCTATGACCCCACCCTGCCTACGAGAGTGACAACTGACGCTTCCGGCTATGGCATTGGGGCAGTCTTGGAACAACACGACGGCGTCGACTGGCACCCTGTGGAGTATTTCAGCCACAAAGTGCCTCCCATCAACTCGCTTGATGATGCAAGGAAGGAGTTGCTCTCGTCCGTGATGGCTCTCAAGCGATGGCGGCACTTCCTCCTTGGGCGTCGTAGGTTCACATGGGTTACAAACAACAACCCACTGACTTACTACAAGACGCAGGATACGGTGAGCAGCACGATCGGATGATGGATGTACTTCATCGACCAATTTGACTTCACACCGAAACATATTCCCGACCTCTCCAATCGCGCAGCAGATGCACTCTCGCGAAGACCTGATCTTTGCGCTATGACACATCATGCCTTCACATTCGACGAGGAACTTCAACGACACTTCATTTTGGGATATGAGCTGGATCCGAACTTCGCCACATTGTATGCGCAGCTATCTTCGGATCACCCGCTGGCCAGCCACTATCGCATTGCCGACGGGTACTTGCTCCTCCACTCGAGAGGCAAGGACTTATTGTGTGTCCCACGAGACCGTCGTCTTCGGACTCGCCTTCTCGGTGAGTATCATGACTCGCGACTCGCCGGCCATTTCGGAGTCAACCGCACCATTGCACGGCTTCGACAACGATGTCGATGGCCCGACCTCATTACCGATGTCACTCGATATTGCGACTCGTGCGAAGTTTGCCGACGAAGCAAGCCCCGCAATCGCAACCCCTACGGCGAATTGCGCCCGATGCCTATCCCACGGGAACCCGGCCTCTCCATTGTCATGGATGTCACCGGACCATTTCCTCGCGATCGCCTCGGGCACGATGGCATCCTCACGGTTGTGGACCGTTTGAGTAAGTATGCGCGTTTTCTCCCTTGCAAGTATTACTCCACGGCTCCCGAGCTGGCAGGCCTCTTGCACCCCGGTTGGATTTGTGGCCACGGTGTACCGGAAGACATAGTCAGCGACCGCGACACTCGCTTCATGTCGGCATTTTGGACTGCTCTCATGCAGGAGTCCGGCACGAAGATGAAACCAAGTTCGGCTCGGCATCCACAGACGGACGGGCAAACGGAGCGGGCACATCAAACCGCTCAAATGATGCTTCGTATGCTCATCTGTCCGGACCAGAAAGATTGGGTTGACCGCCTCCCCGACATCAAGTTCGCCTACAACACTTCGGTGCACCCGGCGATCGGCGTGACTCCATTCGAGTTGCACCACGATGGACGGAAAGGCCGTATCTTCGCCGACCTTCTCCTCCCATGACCAGCCGACATCGACGCCGCTTGCTCTCCCGCTTCCGTCCGGAAGTACGGGGAATTGCTGGCTCAAGCCCGCGCAAACATGCAAAAGGCTCAAGTCCGCATGCAGCAGCAAGCCAACAGGCGTCGCGTGCCATGTCCCATCGGCGCCGGTGATCTGGTTTGGGTCTCCGCGGAAGAGTGTGCACTGGAACAGGACGTTCCAGGCAAACTGCTTCCCAAGTGGTTTGGACCATGGCCCGTAACAGCAGCCGCGGGCAATGAGCCCGATGGTCCTTCATTTGTGATCAACATCCCCGCGCATCTGACGGTCCATCCAGTCTTTCATGCCTCGAAGCTGGCAACATATACACCAGCTAAGAGCAACGATTTCCCGGGCCGACGATCACAGGACCCTCCATCTATTGATGGTCATCAGGAGGTTGACCGCGTCATCATGGATCGCAAGTACGGCAACAAGCCTCGACAATACAAAGAGACATTCAGAGCATGCGATCCCGACGACACTCGGTGGATTTCAGGAACAGATTTGAAAGCATCCGCACCGGTGATCTACGCTCACTACGAGCGACAAAGGTTAGCTCAGGGACCTTCACGACCTGCCCCTCCCACCCGGACTGTGGTCCCTACCTCAGACAGACAGCTTCGCCCTCGCAGGTAAGCTCGGTCTTTCAAGGAGGGGGGGGGGGGGCATACTGCGTAGCCACACGGGCCTGCAGCGCCCGTCCCGCATTCCCAGCCTAAAAGCCTAGAAATAAGAGCTTACAGGCCCCTGTCGTTTCAGCCTGAAAGACTGAAAAACGAGGGCCTGCAGGCCCTATGTCGTTTCAGCCTAAAACAGGGCTTTTCAGCCCTGAGGCTTTTCAGCCTGAAACGGAGGG